CCCCAAAACCCCAAAACCCCAAAACCCCAAAACCCCCCCTGCATTGATTTAAGATAATAAAATTATTAGATAAAAAGAATATAATTTAGATGTTGACTAATAAAAAGATTGCTGTACTAGGAGGATGCTCTATTGGCTCTGCTCTGTCAATACTACTAGCGAGAAAAGGTTTTCATGTTGATTATTATGAAAAATCTAGATCTAAAGCATAATCATAGTCTCAAACGAATCCTCAAATCAATCTTGGAATATCATAAAGAGGAGTAAAAGCCCTAGTCATGATTGATGAATGGGTCTCTGTACTGGAATAAACAGTAGCTTTAAATGGAAGAACAATTCACAACAGAAACGGCTCAGAGGTAAATCACCAATATGGAAAGCAAAATGAACACTTGTACTCAATAAGAACAGAAATTTTTGAAAAAATACTCTAGGAATCATTATCAAAGTATTCGTCTATTAACCGAGAACTGGATGCCAAAATATAAAACATCGATCTGAAAAAGTAATTATGCTTTCTTAACATATTAATAGCACTACAGTGAGATTAGAGAGAGAAGGAATGAATATAGAAGAAAGATAATATTGTTAGATATTCATCGCTGATGATTCATTCAAGCTCATAAAAAAATAATTGATTTTCCAAAAGGGTTTCAAATATAATTAAGATTTCTCATCCTTTGGATATATTGAGGCAAATATACCATCAAGTTAAGATAATGAGTTTCAGCTAAACCCCTTATCCATCCATAGGTGGACTAATGATGACTACCATATTATTGCTTTCCCTAACAAGGACAAATCCTTTGCTTGCAATATCTTCATACCACTTCAAGGCATAGTTTCTTTTGAAAACATACAAACCAAAGAGGATCTGCATAAATTTATTCAGACATTTTTCCCTACTTTATAGGATTTGGTGAAATATGAAAAAGATGAAATAAAATAGAAAAATGTTGGGCTTTTATACGATCATAAATGCTTTCCATGGGTTTTTAACAACATATGTCTATTCGGTGATGCAGCTCACCATATCTTTCCATACTATGGTTAGGCTATTAACACTGGATTAGAAGATTGCACTCTACTTTCTAAGTTAATAGACTATTATAATGCTGATTGGTAAACTATCACTTCAAAATTTCAAGAATTTAGAAAGCCAAACACTGATGCTGTGTCTGATTGGGCAAAAGAAAAATTTAATAACATCAAGTTTGAGATGTTTGATAAAGACTTTCAAGAGAAGAAAGCTATAATAAACTATCTCTCTGATAATTATCAAGATCTATTCCTTTCTTCCTATTAGTTGATAGAATTTAGCCATATAGAATTCTAAAAAGCAATAAATTTTAAGTAAGTTGAGGATGAGATAGTTAGATAAATAAGAATGATTCCTAATTATGAGAGAATTGTTGAGTCTCAGAAAAAAGATTCTATAATTAGACATATCCTTAAGAACTTTGTAGGGAAATTTAAAGTAGAGACTACTGCTGTTGAAATAATTAGCCAATTAGGTGTACTCTCTAAAAATTAAGAAGTTATATTGCTTCCAAATATAGGCTAATTTGAAGTTAATACAATCTAAAACTGTACTATCAGCTCCAAGTAGAGTTTAGATTAGATTCTTGAAGACATTCAACAAAATAAAGCCACTGATTCTATAGTAAAAACTAAATAAGGTTAGGAATTAGAGTAAAATTCCATTTTAAATGGCACCTAAATAGGGCTATGTGTTGAAATAGAATTAAATGTTGGATAAATTTCTATAAGCTTAAAGCAAATGAAGGAAGCTTTTGACTAGGCAATCCTAAAAAGCCTAAAGTAATGCATGAAAAACATCAATAATATCTATAAGTGCTTAATTATTAAGGTTGTTTCTGGAGCTGGTTAAGAAGTAATATTATAATAAGATGTTTACAAGTGGATTAAGGAAAACGGATTCTTGGTCATTGCATTGAATCATACTCTCCAATAAAATAATCCTGAATCCCTGAATCATAATCATCTTTTTCTTAATGAGGATGGAAAATTGATTATTGAAAGAATTAATTTATCAGAAATAAGTTTAGGAGCGTATATTGTCTTAGCTGAAATTCCTAATGAGAAGGGACATGCTTTACCTTGTATTTTCAAACTTAGAAAAATATTAAATGCTGAACTCATTGATATCTATGCCCATAGAAAAGGAGAGTGCTATTATAATGAATATTTATGCGTTGATGAGCTAGTAGGTCTAATGAGAAATAGGACTGAATATTTAGAAGAGAAACTATTCATTAGAGTGCATCAAATAAACGAATTAGCAATAAATTAATCAATAATTACACTTGAAGAACTTATAAAAATATTCAAGTATGGAGAAGTTATTGAGAAAATAACTACCATTTAGGAATATATGAATCAAATTCTGTCCTTCTTCTAGGTATAAATATAGACAAACTATGTGTTATGTCACATGTCTACCCACAATTTTCTCTATGGATTTAGAAGCGCCCTTGGAACTGCATCTGGTGTTTAGAGCTTTCAATTTTATATCTTGTAGTTGTTGCTAGGGCTTAATAAAGATAAACATATTCTTAGTGATCCTGTGAAAATTCTTCACTTAAGAGAAACTGACATTCAAAAGATCAAAGCTTATTGGAATTGTGATAATTTATTCAAGGTTATACAGGATTGGCTCCTTGAATTTTATCAAGAAACCTCTGAAATCACGTAGTTAGAGTAAGACAATTTCGTTATGGATGCTATCAAGGATTGCAAAGATTTTTCTAAAGAAATTGCTCTCTCTGTTGTTTATTTATTCAGGCATTAAGAATTGATCCATTTTAAAATTCTAGAATAAGTTCTGAAGTTTGAAGATTCATTTTTAGCTTTCCTTGATTCTCATATTGTTCTGGTAGATCATCATCTTGGAGATAAAAGAGGTACTTCTCAATCTTCAGGAGGAAAATATCTGAGAGAGTCAAAGTTGGACCAAATTATTTGGAGAGACTTGTATCACATTCAGAAAAACTTAAAACTTTAAAACAAGCAAACTGAAGCTGTACTTGATGAATGATTGAATTGAAAAACAATTGATATTCCTCATTCATTTCAGCATCTAATCCAAGAATACCTATTTATTTATTGATTTTATTTTAGTTTAAAGATATCTTATTTACGAAATAAAACGAGGACTATTTTTATTTAATCATACCTTTAAATAATTGTAAACTTGCTGATCGGGGTTTTGGGGTTTTGGGG